TGTCGCAAAGGTCTGGATGTCAGCCTTTTCCCACAGCTTGCTGATCTTATGCACAATGGTCTGGAGGGTACGCCACTCACGAGCCTTCGGCGAGGTCCCCTGGTCCCATTTCCTACTCAAAAGCGTAGCCAACTGCACCGACCTCGTCTGAAACCCTCCAGCACGGCCTCTGAAGGGGGTGTCCTCGCCGTCCACGAGGTCGAACATGCGACAACATTCGTCCTCCATATGCCCTAACCATTCGCTCCAGGTATCTTCCAGGGAGGCCTCCAAGGGAAGTTGAGTGGGTTCCCAAGACCAGTCGTGAGCACAGGGTTCGCGTTGGCATCCGATCGGCAACTTGGTGGGGAAAGGCTTCCACGTCACACGTACCTGCACAGGCAGTCGAAGTGAAAACCCTCGCAGCGTCAGCATCACTGGGGTGTGGGGCCCGCACGGCGCTGAGTGCAGCGCCCTGACGTCGACGACACTGGACGCCACACCTCGTGAGACAAGGAAAAAGTCCAGGCACCTGGCGGAGCCTGTCGCTGCAAACGTAGGCACCTTAGGGGCGATGATCGTCGCTCCCAGCAGCTGGCTCCACCGCTGGAGCCCCAGGTTACTCGGCTCCATGTTCAGGTCCCCTCCCAAGATCCAAGGGCGCCCACACCCTTGTAAGAAGGCTCCCAGGTCCTCCAGAAGTTCCAGGTTGTCTCCAGAGCATTCCTGACCCACATGCGAGTACAGCGATATCCACAAGAAGCCCGTGGGGATCATAGCATCGACATGCATGGCCGAGACCCTCCCAAGAGCAGAACGTCGGAGGCTCAGCTCACTGTCCAATAGCGGTCTGCATCGGATGTGCGAGGCTACCCCCGTCATGGTCCCCGCGCTCGTGGCCAACTGGTGATCTCCCGTCCGAACAGCAGGATTGAACGTGGCTTTAACCCCACGGAGGCTGGCCCATTTCTGGGCAGACCGAATCGAGGCTTCCTCCAGACGGGTCTCCTGGATGGCCCACCCGTGGGCCTTCTCCCCGCACTGCAGCTGCCATTCAAGAACTTCCTGGGCCGAGGACCAAGAGTTGGGGTTCAGGGTGACGAAACGCCAGTTGGTTTTATTGCGCTGCTGCCTGCGGCGCCGAGCCTCAGGCCGAGCAGGAGTCGCTGTCGTAGCGCTGCAGGTCGCGCTCAGGCTCGTCGTGGCCGAGGAAGAGGCTGGTGAAGTCAATGACTGAGCCTCCGCCGACTGTGCGCTGGCTGACTCGCTGGTCGACGCGGTCGGCTGACTCTGGCGATCTGTCGGCTGCTCGCGGGTGTCCATCCATGCGGCCGTGCTGCTCTGCGAGTCCACGTGGCGGTGGACCTCCTCGTCGTAGTCCTGGGCCGATGTCTCTCGCAGCTGCAAGAAGTATGCCCAGTAACGGCCCCGTGAGCGTGCCTGATCTGCCCACGATCCACTGCAGAAGTCTCTGGCCAAAATCATTCTGGCCTCCACATCATCTACGCCGTGAGCTGCCGCAGTCCTGGCCACCATAGACTGGAAGGCCGTTCCCGCCAGCACCCTGAACACGTACGGCACGCAGTAGTATCGCCAGTGTTGGCGAGCATTCAGCTCGTCGTGCACGGCTGGCTCTGGATAAAGCCAAGTGCTCGCCCATGCCCTCAGCAAAGCACGGAGGCGATGCCGCTCCGTGCGCTCTACTCGCTCTTCATCGGCCTCGAAGGTGTCGGCGGTGTCGTAGCACCTTGGATCGGCCATGTGGGAGTCACTGCCGTTGCGGTCTTGCACGTCTTGCAGAGTGTCCTGCTGCTGGTGGCAAGCTGCGTCAGCTCGGACCAGGCCCCAGTCGTCGTCGTCGGACTCGCTGAGGTCCACCAGGTCGCTGCTGCCGCGGTGGTCGAGGTCCCAGCCGTCGTCGCTGTCCGAGTCGGATGACGCCGATGCAGCCGACGACCAGGGCCCCTCGCAGCTGGTCGTGACGCTGGGCCGCTGACCAGGTGGCCCCGTGGGCGGCGCAGGCCCTGTTCGGTCAGAGCTCGCTATCCATCTTCTCAGAAACTCATGATCCGCGCGGTGAATCGAGACGGCCGCGAGCCACTGGCTGAACGTGAGAGTATCCAGCCATCGCAGATAGGCTGCCCTGCTGCGAGCGCCACTGCGCCAAGCCCTATCGCACAGGTCCTTGGCCATCTGCTCTGCCGCGGAGCCGCGCGCCTGCAGCGTCCTCTGGAACTTGGGGGCCCGCAACTGCTCAATGACGTAGTGCTCGCACCAGTCAAGGAAAGCTTCCTTCTCGTCGGCGGCCTCGCCGACCCTTACGTCGTGTATCCATCTCCTAGCCCATCGCTTGATTTCCCTCTCAATCTTCGGCGCTGGGCTGCTGCGAATAACTGTGCGCCGAGGGCGCCGCTGACCGTTGCTCAACTTCACGAGGTAGGGGATTGCATCAGACCGACGGTGGTTGCAGTCCCTAGGGACTCCTTCGGTAAACCCCAGATGCATATCTTCAGGAAGGGAGAGTGCGTCACCGCTGCAATCCTGCGGCCTGGCCCCAGCAGGCGAGGTAACTGCATTACTGACGCTGTACATGGTGAAGTTGTGGATGCAGGCGCCTTTCCTAGCTCTCGATGGAGAGGCCGACAAAACAGGGTACTGCATCTGGTCATAGCTCAGGCCCGTGCTAAAGGCCCGACTTTGCCGACCCCTTGGCCTTGGACGCCTGCTCCAGCTTGGCCTTAGCCGCTTGGACCGCCGAGCTGGCCTTCCTCGTCGTGGTAGGCTGCCCGCTCGAGGCCGGCTCAGCGGGCGCGGCGGCGGTCGCTGCCGCCGGTGTGGCCGCAGCCTCGGGAGCGGCCGCTGCTGCGGCTTCAGGAGCTGCTGGTGATGCTGCTGGCGGTGCAGCCGCGTCGGGGGCTCCGCCTGGGACTCCGCCTGGGGGCCCTTCTTCGCCGCTGTCGTTGGACTTCCTCTTCTTGGCCGAGAGCCGCTCCAAGTGCCGCTGCTGTTCCTGCCCCAGCGCGGCCGCCTTCTCGCGCAGCGGCCCGAACAGCTTGTCGAGCGCTGACTTGAACTCCGAGGTGAGCTGCTCCTTGCGCCTCGTCGCCTCGTCTCTGTCTTCTTGGGACACCACGTCGCCCAGGGTCTCCAGGCCGAACATGTTCCCATCGTCGAGCAGCAGATCCTCGCCGTCCAGGAGCTTCGAGAGGTTGATGCGCGTGGTGGCCTGCGCGGTGTCGGGCTGGTCCGCGTCGGCGATGCTGGTGTGCAACTTGCGCACGCAGGCCTGGTAGTGCGCTCTGGCTGCGTCCAGTTCCTCGCTGTGCTGTTCCACCTCGCGCTGGGCCTGCTCGACCTGTTCCTCCAGCTTCTCAAGCTTGCCGACCGACTTGCTGAGGATGGACTCGGCACGGTCCAGGCGGGCCTTCGCCAGCTCCAGGGACATGTCGTCGTCGAGCTTGCTCTTGCGGTGCTCGTCGAGCCGACGCTGGTAGCTCGCGGCAGCTTCGGCGTCGCCAGACTCGGAGAGGAGGGCGACCAGGCTGACCAAGCGCTGCTCCTCCCTGTCCACGCTGTCGCCGATGACCTCGGGCTTGAGGTCGAAGGCGACCTGCGGTGGGCCGCGACTGGGCCTGCGCTCGCGCGACTGGGCCCGCCTGGGCGGCTGCGCAGTGTGCCATGGCCGCCTGCCCGCAGCGCCGCCTGCACCAGCAGCAGAAGGAGGAGCAGGAGACCGAAGGGCACTACGCTGAGCCGGCCTGCTGGGCGGCCGCGGTGGGGCCTCTGAAGGAGAGAGAGGCCCTCGGCAGTGCTTGCACCACCGCCACCATGCCAGGTTCTTCCCGCAGCCGCAGCCTTCGCACTTGACCATCTGCTGGTCGCTCGAGGCCGCGCCATTCATCGGCACGAGGGGTCCTGGCTGCTGTGCGCTGTGATGATCACGCAGCAGGCCAGCCGCCTGCCCCAGACGTGCCAGGGTCCTGGCCCACGAGCGATGTCGGCGCTGGCGCCGATGGTCGGCTCCCTCCCGAGGCCGCGCCGTGGCCGAGAGGCAGCACTAGGAAGAATCGCGGTTCTATCCGAACGCGCGTGAGGTTAGCCTGGAAGGGGGGCGTACGGTCCCAGGTATGCCCCCTGCGCTCAGGCCAAAACCTTCCTCCTCCTCCCTCCTCCTCCTCCTCCTCCTCCTCCTCCTCCCTCCTCCTCCTCCTCCTCCTTCCTCCTCCTCCTCCTCTCCTCCTCCTCCTCCTCCCTCCTCCTCCTCCTCCTCCTCCTCCTCCTCCTCCTCCTCCTCCTCCTCCTCCTCCTCCTCCTCCTCACCCCCCTTCCCCGCGGGCCCCCAGGGATGGCCCGAAGAGGCCCTCCAAGGCCACCCCCTTGCTCCCAGAGGTATCTCTGTTCATCGTGGTTGCCCGTTTTATTTCACCGTATGTGTCAGATTCTTCCCTGCGTCCCTTCGTCTCTTCCTGTGCCCGCTGAACTTCGCGGGTGCCCCTTCGTCCCTATTCCCTTCGGCTCTCGTGGGCAACGTTTATGCACAGGCTGGTGGGGAAAAGCGAAGCGTGAAGAGTTTTTGAGACCATCCGACTGCCAACTGAAGTCTCAACATCTACGACCATGAGGTGGCGAAAGTCTAGTGTTGAGAAAAGAGAAATTTACCTGTAAAGAAATCTAAAATGCAGGTAAATGAGGAGGAGGAGGAGGAGGAGGAGGCGGAGGAGAAGGAGGGTGACGACGACAACGACGACGGCCCTCAGATCCCATGTCGCAGTTTTGCTCGTGACTTAGGCCCATTGACCCCTCGACCGCACCTAGGGAGCAGCTTATTCTGCACCGATGCTGCTCCCTAGCGGCTCCCTGGGGGGTTTGAGACAGGGCCCGCAAAAGACCCACGCCGGGGGGAAAAAAACGGCCGCCACGAACCTCCGTGACAAGGGTGGACGACGACGACCAAGACGACGACGACGACGACGACGACGACGACGACGACGTCGATGACGACGACCGCGATGATAATCCTCCTTCCCCCGAAGCCCGGATGAGGCCGCCGCCGCTGTGGCGGAGCCGCCCCGCGCCTAGCTCAAGCCAGGACCGCTGCAGCGCCTGAGCGGCGGCGCCCGCGGCCGTGGCGCGGCAGGGGGCCCGCCGTCGGCGACGAGCGGCACACGGCGAGCGAGGACGGCGGCGACACCCAGGGCGCCGGCGGAGGCGGCGGCGACGACGACGACGACGAAGACGACGACGGCGGCGGCGAAGACGACGACGGCGGCGACGACGAAGACGACGACGGCGGCTGCGACGGAGGCAGCGACGGCGGCGGCGACGCGGGGAGGGGGAGGGGGTCGAAAGGAGGGCGGCGAGGGGGGGGAGGAGGAGAGAGGGGGAGGAGGAAAAGGACAGAAAGGGCAACGGGATGCTCTTGGTTCGCCCTGCCGACGCACGCTTGGACATGCACTCTGGTGAAGAGACTGGACGGCGTCAACAAGAGACGCGGTACCCTCCCAACTTAGTTTGGGGAGAATGCTCGTCAGTCCAGGCTTCTCGTGTGCCCCCCCCCATCCACGGACTTCCGCACCAGGACCCTTCATCGCGCCCTGCGGGGCCAAAAGTCTATCAAGCAATAGGCACCGTCGACTGCCCGGGTGCCGGTCCAATGGCTGAACCTCTGGAAAGCCCAAACTGCGCCGTCGGGGGATATCCACATCCAGAGCTGCTGGAGCCCTGCCCTGGGTCCCCGAGGAGAAGCGGATGCAAATGTTTTCCCGCACCCAGGGGGCGGGCAAGCACCGATGTCCGCCGCTGCGCGGCGGGCTGGGCATCGGCGCACTTTTGCGGTGGACAAGTGGCAAGCGGTCAGGTCCGCACCAAGTGCTGCCAACTCCGTCCCGAGCTGGCGGCCCTTCGCCCTGGCCCCCCGCACCTGCCTCTCTCTGCGTGTGCGTGTGTGTGTGGGGGGGGGGGGCCCTGCCCGCCCCCCGCCCCCCGTCTCCTGCTCCAGCTGCTCCTCCCGCTGCTGCTCCTCGCCGTCCTCCTCCTCGATTCTCGAGGCTCGACGCTGGACGACCAGGGCCCAGGCTGTGCCGTGCTCCTGAAGCGGACAGTCGGTGGCGGTTGGGTCGCTGTGGTTGGCGTGGGCTTGGCGGGGATGCCACTGGACATTGGCGGCGCGGTTGCAGTTCGTGCTGTCCGCTTTGGTTACCTTGGCGGCGCGCAGAAGAGGGTAGGCGGGAAGGCGGAAGGCTCCTTAGAAGAAGGCTGTTTCTCAGAAAGCGCTGGCCTTACATGTATGAAAATAAGGCCCGCGCCTTCAGGAAAAGCAGCCTCATTCTACGAAGCCTTCCCCCCTGTCCCCCCCCCCTCTGCGCGTGGCCGACACTGCCACCCAGTGGTTTCAATAACTCTGTGTTCGGTGGTCGGTGCGTGGCGGTCGGGGGCCTGGGCCGAGCTGCTGTCGGCCGCCGCTTCCGGGGGGTGGGGGGGGGCGTGGCGCTGCTGGTGTAGCCGTGGGGGAGATCTGCGGGTAGTGGAGCTGTGGTAGCACAGGGGGGGACGCTGCTGGCCACCTCAGCCGATGTGAGCGCCGTCTTTCGTGGTGGCGGGGCGCCTGCTGGTGGAGCGAGGTCTTTTCCATGGTGGAGCTCGTCGTGTGCTGCCGTCGGTGCCAGCGTCGGTGCCGTTGCTGTCTGTTGGTCGCTCTGTTGGGCCCGTGGGGTTTTCAGCAGTGGTGCCTGAAGTACAGTGCAGGCCAGTCCACAAGAGACCTTCCACAAGAAACCCAACCCCGAGAACCCAGGACGTCGATGGATTTCTAGTGTGGGAAAGTCACGCTTTCCATGGCAAAACCATCGAAACTGAAGAAACCCAGGTCAGCCTGGAGGCAAGCAGGGTGTTTCTTGGCATGGGCCCCTACTGTAGGATCCTGTGGGCTGCGCGGTCGGGCTGCTGCTGGTCGTCGTTCTGGTCGGTCGGGATGATGAGGCCTCCCATGCCACATGCGCTCGGAGTGCCCGGTGTGGGGAGCCATGGCCGAAGGTGCTGGCGTGGCTGTTGGCTAGCGTGAGGTCATGGGTGCAGTACAGTGCAGGCCAGTCCACAAGAAACCTTCCACAAGAAACCAAACCCTGAGACCCAGGACGTCAATGGTGGCGAAACCATCGAAAACCAAGAAACCCAGGGCACCCTGGAGGCAAGCAGGGTGTTTCTTCGCATGAGCCCCCACTGTAGCACAGCATTCTGGACCTCGCTGATGGTCCTGATGATGCCTTCGAGGTTCCTGGAGTGCTCTCCCTGATTCTGCATGGGCTTGTCGAGGCACTGCATCACGTCGCTGTTCTCCTGGAGGCACCGCGGGTCGCTCTGGATGCACAAGGTGCGTAGTTGGCCGTGGATGCCGTAGAATTGTTCCTCGTAGTGACAGCTCTTGTCCCTACTCATCCATGCTCGTAGTGACTGCTCTTCTTCCTACTTCGCCTCCACCTCCTCCACCTTTCCCTCCTCCCCCTCCTCCTCCTCCTCCTCCTCCTCCTCCTCCTCCTCCTCCTCTCCCCTCCCTCCCCTCCTCCCCCTCCTCTCTCCTCCTCTCCTCCTCCTCCTCCTCCTCCCTCCTCCTCCTCCTCCTCCTCCTCCTCCTCCTCCTCCTCCTCCTCCTCCTCCTCCTCCTCCGTCTCCTCCCTCCCTAGAGGAAAAAACAATGAAATCCGCTGGCCCCCTTGAGGGGCCGTCAGGCTCCGCGGCTTAGGCTTGCTGCTCCCTGCTCCAGTTCCAGTTTCCAGTCTCCAGTGCTACACTTCTGAGTTCTGCTTCCTACTGAGAATGGTTGAAGTCCGCGCGACGGGGTGGGAGCCAAAAAGAGCCCTGATTAGTTACCTTCACCAGGGGGGTCTGAGGATTTCTGGGGGGTCCTGGGGCACGTTTAAAAAAAGCATGAAATTCGCGCCCACGAAGCCATAATCCTTTGTAATTTACGCCGTGTTCGCGTCCCCGAGGCCTTTGCAAATTATACCAGATTCGCGCCCCTGAAGCCAGAACCCCTTGCAAATCAAACTGTTTCGCGCTCCCGAGGCCATGGCGCCCAGGCCTCACAACGTGGCTCTTGCACACCCCATTACGCGAGAGAGGGGGCCAGCGGCAGGGGGCGAAGCCCTTACGGATAAATATAAAACACGCAAGTGCGTGCGGATTTCTTGGAGGAGCAGGAGGAGGAGGAGGAGGGGGAGGAGGAGGAGGAGGGAGGAGGAGGGAGGAGGAGGAGGGGGAGGAGGAGGGAGGGAGGAGGAGGAGGAGGAGGCGGAGGAGGAGGAGGAGCAGGAGGAGGAGGAGGAGGTGCGTGCGGATTTCTTGGATCGGCGCTGGACCCCCCTCCCTGAGCGCGCCAGGGGAGCGCGCCGGGGGCGGCGCCAGAGGCGCTGCCAAGAGGGGCTCAGCGCCGATGCGAGGACTCCGCGCGGAGCGCCGAGCTTTTACGTGCATGTCACTGTTTACTCCACGGCTCCTCGCCCCTTCTACCCCCGCCTCCTCCTCCTCCTCCTCCTCCTCCTCCTCCTCCTCCTCCTCCTCCTCCTCCTCACGCCTCCATCCCCCTCCCTCCCTCCCTCCCTCCCTCCCTCCCTCCCTCCCTCCCTCCCTCCCCGCCCCCGCCTCGGCCCTGTGCATGGCCTCCTCGGTGAACTCGAACTTCTCGCCGTTGACCCAGATCATCGCGTACTGGTCGGCGCTCGCCTGCGGCAGAGGGCTCGCCGGGGGCCCTCCTCTCGAGGACGAGGAGGGATGAGCGGGAAGGAGGAGGAGCACTGAGGCGGAAGGGAGGGCAGGAGGAGGAGGAGGACGATGAGGAGGAGGAGGAGGAGGAGAAGGAGGAGGAGGAGGAGGAGGAGGGGGAGGACAAAGAGGAGAAGGGGGGAGGAGGAGGAGCGGGAGGAGGAGGAGGAGGAAGAGCAGCAGGAGGGAGGATTCTGCTTTATCTTCGCGGGACCTGCACCGCTATCCGCGTCGAATCCATGCCGAACTCGCCAATCCGCGTCGATTCCGCGTCGAATCCATATCGAAACTGGGTCGGGCACAAGAAAGGACACCAACTTTGAGGACAGGAGAAGCTGCCCCGAAGACGCAACGTAAGGAGGACGGAGAAGGGGGGAGAGGGGAGGGAAAAGGGTGGAACAGGGAAGAAGGATGATGGAGGAGGGAGCCACAAGTCAAGAGTCAGGAGCCAACCTGGGACCGAAGACCCAAATCCCAAGTCCGGACACGAAAACACTGACAGCACTGAAGGGAATGCAAGCCAACAGAGGGGGTCACGAGCGAGCCACTGAGGGGGCAGAAAGGACGAGCGAAACGCAGAACACAAACCTCCCGAAGCGACCAGGCAAAAAAAACGGCCGAGCGTGCCCTGACGCACGCACGTCGCGAAGATCGCAGTAGACTTACAAAGACGCTGGCGCCTGAGGCACTGCCGGCATTGCCCCACATGCTGGGGACATTCGAGGCGATCGCCAGGACCCCCCAAAAAAACAGACCTGTCCTGGAGGGGAGGGAGAAGACGAAGAGAAGGAAGGAAAGGGAGTGGGAAGAGGAGGAGGAAGAAGGAGGCCCTCCTCCTGCCGCTCCTCCTCCTCCTCCTCCTCCTCCTCCTGCCGCTCCTCCTGCTCCTCCTGCTCCTCCTCCTCCTCCTCCTCCTCCTCCTCCTCCTCATCATCATCATCATCATCATCATCATTCTCCTCATCATCATCATCATCATCATCATCATCATCATCATCATCATCATCATCATCATCATCATCATCATCATCATCATCATCATCATCATCATCATCATCATCATCATCATCATCTTGCCCCTCGTCCTCCTCCTCCTCCTCCTTCTCCTCCTCCTCCTCCTCCTCCTCCGCCTACTCCCGCTCCTCCTCCTCCCTCTGACACGGCAGAAGAGTCATCACGGCACACCGCGCGCACGGACCCCTACCCCCATCCTGGGCTCTACGGGCCATCGCGACGGCGATGGCGAACAGCTCCCCCTCATCCCCCCTCGGTCGGTCGGTCGGATCTGAAGGCCAATTCGATCCGAACCCGACTCCAGGTTGGAGAAAGAGGCATGCAGGAGAAGGGTGGGAGCGCTCCAGCAGGAGCGGCCGCCAGCCACGCGCACTTGGATATCAAAGGTCAACGCCAACACGCGCACCAACGTCCAGCAAAGGAGCGAAGCGGAGACGGTCAAAGTGCAAAGAACGGGCACAAAAGCTCCGACAGAGAGCGCATTTCCACGGGCAAGCCCTTCCTCCCCCCCCCCCCACAGGGGGCACGCGGTGCGTGCTTGACCCAACATGGCCACGCCAGGGGTCAAATTCCACCCCTCCCGCCCCCTCCGCTCGACTCTGTCAGCTCCGCAAGCCCGTGCCCGACCCAACCCAAAGCCTGGGCTGGCGAAATCCAGCACTCAAAACAAACCCCGAGATCCGAACCCACTCCCACGCATTCTTCTCACAGCATTCCTCCTCTCATTTGCATACGCAATGGCAACGCACTCATAGTACTCACTTCAACACACTAGGGGTTCCCAACGTTGCCATCAGCAGGCACGTGCAAATGATTGCCCGAGCATCTCCCCCATCCCTTCCCACGAACTCTGGCACACAAGGTACTCATCAGCGAGTAAAGGATGGAGTAAGAATCCCATGTAGTGGTTTCTCCGAATGCGCAGCAGCCAAGGTCGACCGATGCCGCACATCCTTTCCTGATGGTTTGGCGCTTCGCCGACACAAAACTGGCACCTCTGGTCAACTTCCCTTTGCGCGATCACGATCTCAGGAATTGTGTGCAGCCCAGCTGCACGCAACAAATCAATGCCGTCGCTCACGAAGCTGATTTTACAGACCGACAACACTTCTCTCTTTCTAAACAAGGTTCCCCTCCCCCACGGTTGATCCCGAGCTCTGGTAAGTTCTGCCCTGGCCCCCGGAGTCCCACGGAAGCCAGGCGTTGAAAAAAAGCCTACAGAAATTATGCATTCGGCCAACATGCTGGTCCATTCCACAACTCTTTGGGTGTCCCACTTCTCCAGTGAGATATGCATCACCCTCGTGTCTTCCCGAAAATGGGTCAGAATGTCTTCCAACACATACTGGGCGTCTTGCGACTCTCTCGTCAGCACTGACGATTAACAAAAAAGGTCTTGAGCAATTTGCATGATACTCCCCCAGCAGGCGCATCAACAATCGGACTGTCAGCCAAGACGATGGGTGCATCAACAGCTGGGTGGACTTCCGCATCAACTCTCCAAGCTGTGGGTGGCCCGCACACACAATGGGTCGATCCCTACACCATGCTCACGTTTGCCGGACTCTCTTGCTGCACTCTGAACAGCAAGGCATTCCCCCTCCAGTTCTGGAGCTCTTCCGAACAACTGCCGCGCTGCGACTTAAAATGCAAATGGTTCAAGGATCGAGGGCGGGTCGTTTTCAAAATGTGGCTCGCGCCTAA